AACTGAAACCTAACCAAATATCACCAGTGTTTATTGAAATGCTGTTGTTGTTCCTCAAGCATTGTTTTTTAACTGAAACCTAACCAAATATCACCAGTGTTTATTGAAATGCTGTTGTTGTTCCTCAAGCATTGTTTTTTTAACTGATAACTAACCAAATATCACCAGTGTTTATTGAAATTCTGTTGTTGTTCCTCAAGTATTGTTTTTAAAGTGAAAACTAAGAAACTATCACCTAAGTTCATTGAAATGCTGTTGTTGTTACTGCTCTGTAGTTTAACTGTACCAGAAAATATAACGATATAATAACCCAAAATGAACTTTCTATTGGGACAGAAACTTAAGTTACATCATTCATAGATTAATAAATGCCCTATCATAGTTAATTAACCGATCTGAAAGGAGGGGTTGTATCTTTTCAATCAGAATAAACTATTTAATTCGCTGAAGCAAATGAACAACATTTCGCCAAAATTGATCCCTCTAATAGATTTACATCATTTTATAACATTCGAAATATCAATATAAATACCAAGATATATATTACAAAATGAAAGATATACCCTAAAGCTCACAGAAGATTTATCCTGTATTACAACTAATAATTACGTTAAAATTATTGTTGTTTGAGATGAAATCCAATAGAAAATGAAAATTGAAGTTTAAATTCTGAAAAAGGAAGGATTTCACCCCCCCCCCCAAAAAAAATCATCAACACCATTAAAATACTTATTAAGGTAGCTCCTCTTTGTTTTGCTTTTATTGGTTTGACATTAACATATTTTATAAAACTTAGTTTGGCTTAAAATGTTTTATTTATGACCTTATTTCTACTATTAACGTAATTATAGTGTACATCGCGACAAAGACAGAACTGCGTATGTTTTAAGGAAAAGTAAAAAGTATTTAAGTTCGTAGTTCATTAATTTCCCCCAGTGGTTCAGAGGTAAGTCTGGGGGCTTATAACGCTAAAAAAAATTGGATTTTGTATCCTGCGGTGGGCAGAGCACAGATAGCCCATCGTATAGCTTTAGGCTTAACAGCAAATAAATACAAGCTCCTTAATATATTATTTCTATACATTACGTTTTTCTTATAATGAACAAAAAAGATAAAAAAATATTTACGGTTTACTATTTTAACGTATCTAGCCGCAATAGTTGATGGTCGATCCTCTGACTTCTGTTAACTATACCACTGTGTTTCTTTGTGACAAATGTTAAAGAATTTTAAAGATAACATACATATTAGTTTCAACGTAGCGACCTCTGTTTTCAGTTACAAATATTAATTATTAAAAATGTATATCACAGTATATTTCTTTCAATTATCACCGTTTATCGGAACTCATCCTTAGTGTCTCAAATCTTACAAGATGGTACGTACTAGGAGTTTACATTATGAGTACTTACAAATAACAAGCCTTTCTAAAATCTATAAGTTTTTCTTCTCACAATAGTATACCATGGAATTAACTCTTAAACTATGTATGTATATTCTGAGGCTTCGAAAGCCCTAGGTTTTCTTGCCCGAGGTCCTCATACCCTGTCAATCCTGTTTCCTATACTGCTAAATCACTAGGTTTTCTTGCACGGGGTCCTCATACCCTGTCAATACTGTTTCCTCTACTGCTAAATCACTAGGTTTTCTTGCCCGGGGTCCTCATACCCTGTCAATCCTGTTCCCTCTACTGCTAAATCACTAACTTTATTCATCGTCGTAGGTTCTTAAATGCTTGACAAACTTTCAGTGCCCCTCTTTGTTTCCTCTGCATTGGTTCTGATAGAGATTCTTCTACAGTATCCCTCCACAACTAATAAATAAAAATATATGATAAAAAACGGATAACATAAAAGTTGGAAATAAGCTCCTGTTTAAAGGTGTGGACGACTTTTTTACTTTGAGTTTATCATTATTTAACAACGTATTGTGTCCACTGATTATTAGAATGACTGACATAAATACGATTTCTTCGTGCCCTCTTGTGCAACGTATTATTTAGTGCAGCTCTATATTAAACCTATTAAACGAGATACAATCGATCCCCAATATCGATTATGTCGTTGGCTATGTACACAATTGATTCAAAGTTTGATAATATTACTTTGGTGCACAACAAAACAATAAATAAATGAAAAAGAACATGCAGGACTCGTGATATACGTCTTCTGTATTGACAACGCATAATACATAGCAGTATATACCAATAAGTCACTTTAGTAAGAGAACAGTGTGATAAAGTAGAGCAAGCGGAAAAATGGAGATATATTATTAAGGCACATCTTATTAACTACATAGAAATACCAGTTTCGTTAGGATACTGGTTAAAATGATAACAATAACAGAAGTTATTACACATACAGAAGGTTAAGTACGTTATATTAAAACAATTTTGGAGCCCTGCAATGTCGTTAATATCCATGCCTCCACTTCCAGTCATGTTCTGTCCGACGACAGTGTATAATAAAAGTGATTCAGCATAGCTTCCATTGCAAAAGGCTCCGTCTTAAGGTTGTTATATCCAAAGCACACAACTCCTCTCTGCGTATTTGCCATAAGCCATCTAGTGAACGAGGACAACGGTTTCCCAGTGCCTTTTTCAAAATCCGATCGAACAGAAATTCACAGGCTTTGCGGCCAGTGACCTGATTGGTTTGTCGTTGTATGAAATAGCATGAATACCCGTTTTATTCTCCAGCTGCTTGAAGCATGCGACGTTTGAACGGATATGTCATGGAAGTAAATTGTTGACTTGTTTCGCTTTTCCAAACGCAGATGCTTCTTGATTATGTTTCGTACTGTTGCAAGGAACACCTTTCTATTCGTAGATTCGTACGTGGTACAAGACACTACACTTTGCTTACCACACCTAGAGTACGACTTCTTATAGGACTTTTTGTGGATGGTTCTGGCACCCCAATGGATCAATATGTCTTTGTTTTCCAATGACTTTAAGTACAAGGAATATCTCCGTCTTGAAAATTCTAAATTTCCGTTGTGGACAAATATTTGTGATCTGGGCGTATGAATATTTTGTATCGGAAAGTGTTGCTATATACCCTCCCAATAGAGATTAGTTTTCGGTGACATCACACTACCTACGCAACGCCAAACAATGTTAAAACGTAGTTCTGATATATTCCGTTACATCGTAAATCTATATCGGCCGTGGTTGTCACACGAATTGCTGATTTATATACAAGTAGTGGATATAAAAAATGGAAACACCTGGGTAAATGAGGGACAACAAGTATATCAAATGTAGAGGCTACACACAGGAGTGGCTCATCCATTAATTAAGCAAATAACATAGGGTCATGTATAAAAATGCTGAGAAGACTTCAGTGACTTTGAAAGAAGGGTGATTGTTGGGGCGCGTTTGGCAGTAGCTTTAGTGACCAAAACAGCTCAACTTGCTGATATTTCATGAGCAACGGTGTCTAAGGTTGGTGAAAGTGCATATTCCAAGATCGTGATGTTCATGCATTAATTCGAACTGAAAGGCAAAACAGGCGAGCAGCCATAGGTCAATTGACTGCAAATTTTAACCTGGGGCGAGAGCAGCAAGTTTCACCAAAAAAGGTCTGCCAAGAACTCCACAGAATGAGATACCAAACCGCTTAACACACAAGTATGGTTGTGCATCCAGTGGTACAAAGAGCACAGGTTATGGACTACCGAGAAGAAATGTGATATGGTCAGATGAATCATCCTTCACCATGTTCTCGACAAATGCACGTGTGGTGCCAACCTAAATAACTCTACAGCCATGAACGCTTGTGTAATGGTGTGGGAGCATTTTCCTAGCATGTTTTGGATGCACTCAAACCCTTAGAAGGCAATTCGATGTCAATTATTATTTAATGGCAATAAGTGATAATCTTAACACCATGTTACAGCATTTCTGTCCTGCAGAGAGGGGTGTCTTTCAAGATGGCAATGCCCCGGTCTACAGAGCATGGGTAATTGCCCAGTGGTTTAAGGAGCATGACACTGACGTTATCCATATGTCCTGGCCTTCTCAGTCACCAGAGCTAAACCAAGATGAGCATGTATTGGATATTCTGGAACGATGCCTGAAACAACGTTTTCCATTTCCATCAAGTAGGCGTGAGTTGATTGAGTTTCTCGCGGAAGAGTGGTGTCGTATTTCTCCTGCAGAATTCCAGACACTGGTAGACCCTAAGCTACGACGCATGCAGGCTGTACTGGCCACACGTGGTGGCCCAAAACCATAGCAAGTGACTTAATATTGGTGTTTCCATTTTTTGGCCACTACCTGTATATATATATATACTCAAATCGTTTAATATAATGTACTCAATTCGCTGTATATCTATATAAGTCTTGTAGTTTTTGGTTG